GAATGCAGTATTTATATAAATATAAAGTATTTCTCTCCCTCCTTCCTAGCGTACCTTCGTGGTGTAGTGGTTCTGCACGCTGGGCCGGTATTCCAGAGGTCCGTGGTTCGATTCCCGGGAAAGGTGATTGCTCATTTTTCCTCTTGCCTGCCTCCAAAAAATACCCAATGTCTCTACAGTGCCGCCCGAACTAAAAGGGTGTTGGATGATGATTCTCCTCCCCAGGATTTGACAATTGGGTTCCCTAAAAACCCCAGTCGCCCTTTAAAAGGGGGAGTATATAAGGTATTTCTCCCGCCTTCCTAGCTCTTCTACTTCGTGGTGTAGTGGTTCTGCACGCTGGGCCGGTATTCCAGAGGTCCGTGGTTCGATTCCCGGCGAAGGCGATTGCTCATTTTTCGTCTTGCCTGCTTCCAAAAAATACCTATTGTCTCTACATACATAAAAGAAAAGCATATATTGTTTTTACATAACTTCCGCAAATATTCTGAAGACGTATGGTTTAAGAGTATACGTCACATCTTCATGTATATAGCTATTTAAATATTAATTTTTTTATGGAAGCTTAACATACTGGGATAAGTGCTAGAACACAGCAAAAATAGTAATTAGTAATTATCAGCTGTTCTTCATAGTAAACGGAGATCAAACTTGGATACATTACAGCTCTAAAACGGCATGACGATGGCTTAATCTAATAATTTCAACATCAGGATCGTATTCATTAATGTGCGCAATATTGAAACGTTAAATTCACGTTTCTGTCTTTTAAATTCTCTGGAAAAAAAGTTAAGATCATCTTAATTCCTTAACTTAATCTCATGTTATAAATACTAGCTATCCTTGCAAGTCTTTTTCTACGGAGAGAAAAGTAGGATGATATTCTCTGTAAAATTTTTGCCAATTAATAAATCTTTAAAACGTAAGGTAATTAAGGAATTTGCTACAGATGCAATTAGAAATGTGTTAAGTAAATAAATATGTCAAGAGATCAGATATTTTTAGTTTTATCTTTACTTTTCTGTTGTTCACAGAGCTTGTAGTTTTCCGCAGACTTGACCTAAATTGTAAATGAAAAAGTCACAGTATTGAGTTCAGGTTATTAATCAACATATTAGTAATTTTAGTTTACCTTATATAAGAAGATTTATCAGGCTTTCGCTATTTGCGCTGATATTATTTAAAGTGAATTTCTGATTATGTTGTTTTTAAAACATTTCCAGGCTAAATAAAATGATTATTTAAACATGGCTCATCCAAGATTATTTTGTAATATTTTCATTGTTAATATGTATTTTACTGTGATGCATGCCATTACCCTGTATTATGCATTATATTGTACTATGTCCATAGGTATATATATAAATGTATGTATTTACTGCCTATGTGTGTGTATATTTATGTAATGTTATGAAATTCAATGGTCTGGTGGTGGCGGTTCTTGCTATGGGTGGTAGTCTATGCACTGTGGCGTCACTTCCTTCTCATCAACATTTTATGCGTTGCTGCTTTTCTAATAACTATTTTTGTTTTGCTTTCTTGATAACCTTTTGCCTACAAATACATCTTTCTTTCGCTATTTATTTCATCAAAATAAAAATTATCTTGTAAGATGAACAGCTTAGCTAACTGGGAGTCAATCGGAAAAACAAATTTTAAATTTGCATGTTTAAGGTCATGAGAAATATGATTCATTACATAAATTTTGAAATTACTAAAGGAAATTTAGGTTTTTGTTAATTGCACTGTCTTCATTTCGTAGAATTCATTTTAAAAAAGTAAATTTTAACGTGTAATGTTACAATGCTAATTCATATCTTGATCATTGTTGCTACAGTAGCAGTCTACTGAGAGCCTCAAATATTGAAATAATTGCAAGATTTAAAATAATGCATTTCAACATGAATCCTGACTTGTACTAAAAGCCTGCATTATTGGTACTAGAATCGATTTACTTGTTTGGAAACTTAATTTTTTTTTCGTTCTTGCTGAAATATATTATCGCAATAAAATAAATTAATGATGACAATCAAACAATCAGCTTTTATATGAGAACAAAAAAAATCTGAACTTCCTGTTCATCTAACTTTACGCAAGTTTGCATTAAACATTTTAACTAATAAGGTCAGACAATTCTGGATTCGAATGTGAGTTATTTCAGACTGTTTTTCTGTTATGACTGTTAGTCGAAAACATTGTTTGATAAGATTACGAATAAGAAGTTCGCAAAGATGTAAAAATTTATAATACTAATTCCATAAATAAAATATGCTTAACACAGTGAATTATAAGCTTGTACGTTAAATTTCACTGCTAAGCTATTTCAAGAAAAATCCTTATTATCTTTTCTGTAAACATTTCCGTTACAAATAATGGATTCTTACCGCTGCTTATTCCTTTCGACACTTTTCTTGGCAAACCTTTTCTATTTGTGGGAAACTTCTATTATTGAGTAACTTGCATTATGATTATTTCCATATTTAAACACATTTTAATTAATTTAAAATTCAAACTGGCAGTACTTACAGTTTCTATACCCAAGTAGTCCAGATAATATCAAAACACATAATTTTAAGAGCGTTTGAATTTCTTGGTAGTAATAAATTTAAATTCATAAAATTAAAAAAATGCATTCTAATAATATGTATGTAAGTGTATTCTAGTAATTTTCGCTTATACGCCAGCAACATGTTATTAATCCTTTGGAAAAAAATTTAATTTCTGTGGCACCCAGATTGAATAAAATGCTTTCTAACCACCTGTTACGAATTACAACAAAGCTATTACTCGAATATCATTATAACACAAAGTTAATTAATGAAATTGGATTTTTCAGGATTTCACAATCGGTACATATCTCAGCTGCAGCGAATTAAACAAAACATACATACATAGACTTCGGACATTTTTTTTTTTTTTTTTTTTTTCAATTTTCATCAAATTCTTAACTTTTATTAATTATTTCGTTTTAAAAATTGCTGAATAAAATCGCAACAAATATCATTTTAACTTTAATTATTAAAAAAGCAAAAGTACATTTTTAAATCAATATTTTAATGTTCTTAATAAAACTGGGCATATTCCATACAATCGACGACCCATTCTTCAAACCATTTTTCGAATTTATGAATGTTTTATTTATTATTTGTTTAAATAACATAACAAAGATCAATAAATACATTGCAGCTTCCCATTCAACTATCAATAATTTGAGATAAAAAAATCCAGAAAATATGAAGTGAATAAAATTATAAAATACACTACTAGTTTGAGAAGTTTTGGACATGCAGACCGTAAAATTTTGAACTGCTGATATAAATCTGCTTGTTTTCAACGTACTGTAGACTTTAAATATTATATAGTGATTGAAATTTCAACTACGAGAGTCTGAGTGAAAGGTCTATAAAATTTCCTACTTAAAAATTTATCAATTTCTTTGTTATTCAGAGTGTTTGAAAAGGATTGCTACAAGCTTAAAAATTAATCATTAAAACACATTTTCTAGCACAAAGTTAAATTTAATGAAAACAGTTTAAACATGGAGGAGGAGGGTTTGCAAAGATGTGAGTTAAAGAATTTGATGAAAACAGTTTAATCATGGTGGAGGAGAGTCCTGCAAATAAAAAAATCGGATTTTTTTATATGATACGCATAAATGAAAATGCTCATCTGCTGCCATAATATTTAAAAAGTTAAATGCATAAAATTTCAGTTAAAAAAGTTAATTTGCTTTCATTATGTTTGAATAACTTAAATACGTAAAATTCCATAAAGATAAAAGTTTTATGAGATTTAGAAGGCGAATTTGAGAATTTTTCAGTGCCTATTACTAAGCAATTTCGAGAAAATTTTACCAGATTTATGCAGAAATTTCAGAGAAAAATTTGTTTACTTTCATGATTAATATTTCCTCATTAAAAAAAAGCAGTCCAGTATTAATTTCGTAATAGGCCTCATGAAGCTATTAATTTCTAATACCTCTTGAAATTTTGCAGGGAAAAGGGTAAAGTCTTTAATATTAAATTAAGCAAAAATATGTATAAAGAACATTTTATTATTTAGCTCTCATTAGAGCTAATTAATTTTAATTTTACATTTTTAAAACCCTCCCATCACCAATATACCCTACATTATTTTGAGAAGCTTTGCATTGGAAATATATAGTAGGATTAAGTAGAAAATAAAGTCCAGAGCCTCCTTGCTTAAATACCCTGCACCCAAATACCTAAATACCCTATATTTCATCCGTAAGCATCTTATTGCAGGATGTTTATAAAATCAAGTCACAAACATTAAATATCACTATCACTAAAGACTTATATTCCCAGCCCCGTCATTCTGAGAAGCTTTATTCAGCAAACATTGTCGTCAAAGGCTAAATGTAATGTATACATTTATTCATAATAAATATGATACATATGAAAGAGGGTTTTTATTAATATCAGCTATTATTTCTCTGCTATTATTAATTATAAAATGCATTTAAGTATAAAAGCGTGTGTCAAAAAGCAGCTATAATTAGAAGCAGCTCTATTTAGGTTTTAAACATATTTCTTCATATTTACAAAACTACTGATTCAAAACACGGTTAGAAATTACTTGTACGTACAATAAAATATATTTTCAGATCCCCGGTCTTTTACCGGTAATTTTCTGAACCTCTAATTTTAAACGATCATCTGTTAGAAAGAGCAAAAACTAAATATATCAATTCACCAATTCAAATATCATTCTTTTATTTGTATTTAATCTAAGAGTATTTAAATCAAAATACACGAATATTATCGTTTGCGAACTACTCTTCAAGGAATTTTGCATTAATAATACATTGACAGCATTTACAACTGAATAACAATAAATTGTAAAGACAAAAACTACCTTCACAGGGTATTGAAAATGTAAGGCTGCCAACAGATATATATTTTTAATTACATTGAAATCTCAATACTAAATCAATGTGGAAAAGTTCGGAGGAAGTGACGTCATGTGTATTTGTGCAGGAAGTGGTTCTCTGACTCCTCTCACTCCCATCAGCATGCAAGAGGTGAAGCAACAACTCGTTATAAATCCGGGAAATGTTCTCGACAATCCTTATGCTACAGGTATTAAATATTTTTTTCATTTTCCCTATAACTGTTGATGTGAATACTTAAGCTAACCTAAGAGACTTAAAGCGATTGAATATTAAATCGAAAGCCCATTTTTAAAATAGTAAAACAGGTATTAAATTTCTGTAATCAATGTTTACTTCTATTTATTATTTAAAATAATTGAAGCTTGGTTACATAATTTATGCGAATTACAAGAAATGAAGTGAAAAGAACTTCCCTTATTAAAAAAAAAAAAAAAAAAAAAAAAAAAAAAAAGGAAATTCTTATTGAAAAGAATTATGCTTACGCAGCATTCCTTTTATTTATGCTATATCATGAAGCATAATATAAATATTTTCTATCTTAGAAGAATTATTTATTTGGGGAAAATTGAAATAACTATCGGAATTTTAAATTTATTGCGTCATTCATAGAATAAAGGCATTTTGAAAATAAAGCGCTCAGATATCTAAAGAAAATGTTATACCTGAGGAAAGAAGAGTAAGCTGGAAGTTCATTGGAATGGTTTCGAATTTCTAATAAAAATAATAGTAATAAAAATAATAACTTTATACAAAACATACTTGAGAGTTAAATATAAATTATAATATTTAAGATGCAAAATTTTGCCATGTTTGAAGTTGGCATAGTGAGCCTACAAAGATTTAAAAGCCATTTTTTAACTAATTCTAGCAAATCTGCAAAACGATTAATTGACAGTATTCATGACTATGACATCTTCACTTTCTTTTCCTAAATTATCGTCTGTTTACGGAAAAATGTCTATTTATTCTTTTGCTTTTGCTCAGTGAACATGTGCTGTCATGGATTTGCAAACTAAGCAAAACGAAGCAATAACATTTTGTTGTAAAGTGGCAAAATCACCAAGGAGATATCTGATGTTGATGTATTTAATTATGGCAAAGCACACGAGGGCTATCTGCCTAAAGGGAGGGATGCCTTTCGTGGAGGACTTTCTAAGGGAAACTGGCTCGTATACACGTTACACATGGGGAAAACCACGAAAACGCCCATGCAGCCAGCCCGTTCGCGGGATTCGAACCTCAGACCGAACTACCAGTGTTCAGCGTCTTTACCGCTCGGCCGCTGGTGGGCCAGGAGATATCTGAAATATTATGTAAAGTATACGGGTATCGAGCATTAATACGTTTTCCGTTGACGATTTCATGATGGTTGTGCTGCAGCTATTGTTAAAATTGTCACCTGTCTCCTAGATTAGTCGCTTATGAATTTTGTTAAATATTCCATTAAAATGTTAAAAAACTGGATTGAATAATTGGTTCCCACTGCACAGCTATGTGCTGCAAAAAAGCAAGCAAAATAATAATATGGGATTATGTGAAATGTTGGAATTGAAAAATTTTCTTCAATATTAAACTTAGAGCTTTAATTTCTTTCCCTATTTTTCACTTTGACTGGTTTGTATATGAAGCGGGGCGCAAAGTCAGGGATCTCCCCGAGTGGCGAAAGCTGCAGCTATGCCACCGAAACTTTCTCGACGCATGGTGTATTCAAATTAAAGAAAACTATTGTCGTAACAAAACTACCTCTGAATAATACATTACACCCAGAAAAGATTTTGAAGGTTTAGAAGGTATTTACGTCTACTGTTTTGGTGATCAATTTTTATTTTTATTTGCAGTTGGCAGCGCGGGCGATGTTTGTGGGGGAAGCCCTTCTCCTGCCAAAGCCGAACTCAGTGAAGGAACTTCCGCTTTGACTGTGCTACAGCCAGTGCACAGTCCCCTTAGCCCCAACGCCACCTACACTCCTTTACCTTCCTTCTCTCAGTATCCCTCGGGTGAGTATCTTGAATTTTTATTTTGTCTTGAAAACATAATTTCATTCCGCATTGCTCAATGATATCTGCATGTGATTAGGATCTGAAGTATGCCAATGACGACATAAGCCACGCGTTTTGCATTATGATTCTATAAATGAGCCAGACGTTTATCCTCGGAATGTGGTTACGAAGAAAAATTTCACTTTTCGCCTCCAGTATTCTTAATGTAGTTATACAAAGTTATTTATTTTTCATGTTCTCTTCGAAATTGTGGGAAATGTTTTATAGTTGTTTAATAAACTGCATAGAAACGTTGAACACTCATCGAAAATCGCTGAGGAAAAATACAAAAGTATAGACCTGTCATTTAATGGAGGAAACAAAAGGAAAAAATGAAAGAATTATTTTCTGAAGGAAATAAATCTAGATGATAACAGAAAACAACAATTAATACCTTTATTAAATGTAACATTCGTATCACTATAGAATTGATCAAACTAAAGAGCAGTTATAATTTATTCCAACGTCATCTGATTTATTTATTTTAAAATAAGAAGTATCCTCTAACATAATGACCGACAACCGGTTCTGGTAATTTAACAAGTTATGCGATGCAGCCAGTTCACAAAATCTCAAGACACAGATATATGAATAAATGTTGCATTTTATTTACGCATAACTTTTTGCACTTAATGCTAATTTATAGTTTATTCTAACCTGTATTCAAAATATATGCTATTTTGATTTTTATTGCACAATTAATGTTTTAAATTCCCTACCAGTTATTGACTGAATAAAATCACAATAATAAGAGTTTTCGTAATAATAGATATAAACATAAAATTTCTGTCTTATAATTAGAATTTTATATAATTATTGCTATATAGAATTATTAAAGCAATATATATACATATTTAGTGTTTAAAAAGCACTTCACAGAATTATTAATCATTGTAGTTAAAATGGAATTAAAAAAATTACGAGTCGTAATTAACTATGAAATTTTTTATCTAGATATAATTGATTACTGTAACAAAATTTTAATTTAAATTGTTATCATTAGTTATTTAATTAACTAAGAAGCAAATCATCTAATTTATGCGTTCTTTTGTCTACTCTTTGAAAATTCATTTAAATTTAAAGCATTAAATTTTTATTTAGTCGAAATAATTTATTTAAAAATATTTGCTAAAATAGCTTTTAATCTTTGCTAATTCTTTTTCTAGTGACGAGCATGACCGTGCCAGGGACCGGTGTTGCATCTATTCCAGGTACAGAGTACTCATATGCTTCTCCATATACCCAGTACTCCACAGCAGCGTACGGTGCTTACGGATATACCACAAATAGCATCGTCAGTAAGTAAATTGTTCAATTTAGATAGTAATTTGGTTTCGTTTGGTTTGGGAATTTGGTTTGGTATTGACTATTCCTCGCAAAAAGGGATTAGGCCTAGCGTTTAATAATCTCTTCATTAGAATCACTTTTCTTAAATGCAGTGCTGATTTCAGGTGCAGGTTTTTTGTAGAGGATTTGCATGGAGAGCAGGATTTATTTTCCGCGCTTTCTATGTTTATTATAGAAGTGTAGTTCCAGTTACAACATTTCTCAAAATAAGATAAAGAAATTTATGAAAACAGTTTCAACAGTAGGAATAATATAAAGCTCCTTAAAAATGAAATGCTATTTTTTAACAGTCCCTAGAATAAAGATTCTAGTCAGCAAAATATTCATTATACTTTATGCTAAATAGAAAAAATTCCACACCTTTGTAATACGAAATTCATTCATCCATTCGAGAAGAAGTTTCTAATATAGATCACTTTTTAGTGCTTATAAACGATCAAAATAGATTTAAGTACAAAGGCAATGTTGTTCGTTTTAGTGAGTTAGGTATTGGTTAAAGCTACACTAAGTATTAAATTTGTAGTTGACTTCTTGAAACTATTAAATTACATATTGGCGAATTTTCATGTCAAGGTAACTAATTAAAGTGTAAATGCGATCATACAGCATGAAAATTTTGCTGCGCGAGAATTAAAAAAAAATATTACATTTACAGAATCCTTCTACTCACAGTATTTAAACTTGTCTTTATAGATTTATTTTATTTTAACAAAAGCCCATATGTAGGCTTAGTGTCCACGATTTTCCTAATTTTAATAAACGTTTATCTCTTTTATAAAACTTTATCCTATTTTGGCATAGGTTCATATCTAGGATCGATAATATCTTGATATATTAGGAAATAAAATTTGCAATCACCATTTTCAAACATCTTGTACAATGGCTATTTTTAATACGCCCGAGCATTAAAAATATACAAGTCAAAATATATGCTTCCGTTATGGTGTATGTTAATACAAAATTAAACCTTCCATTTAAGCATTCACTATTTGAATGATTAAACACTTAATCATCATAAAAATGGCTTGTGATTAGTTCTGAGTCATCAAGGTACCTAGATATGGAACATTTTATTTCACTCCATATAGATAGCTAAAATCTTCCAGGAAGGTTCCGCCTTTCAAGAAGGCGAAGACTACTAAAACCTTCCTGGAAGGTTACGAATAATAACTTACTACAGTTTTATTACTGTTGATTAAATAAGTTGCTAAAGCATTTTTTTATTCTTTTTTGTAGCTGATCCATCTTATTACTACACCAGCCGTCCGGCTGCGAGCAATAACTCCGTCCTAACGACCACGCCGTCGCTCAGCCCGGATGTGTACAAGGACAGATGCTAACCAAAGGGACTTCAGTCTCCGTGGCTACCTCAAAGCAACCTACTTAGTCATCCAGCTGACAATCCAAAGTTATTTTTGTAGGAGGAGGATGTATATAAATTAAGAACATCGCGACATAATTTCACCATTCATCGTATCACTGTCTTTCAAGGTCCATGATGGCCCTCGAAAGTAGGAAGCTGGAGCTCCGAAATGCCCAGCTGTTGAATTGACTACAAAGTTGCTGTTTTTAGTCAATTGGATAAATTCTTTTGATAAGCACCACACGTCGACCCACCAAAGATGTTCTGAAAAAAACCATTGCGCATTTTTGGGTGATTTGATTCCGAGATCTGCGAAGATGACATTAAAAGTTGATGATTCGGAATTAGTTGAGACCTCCGAGCAGGAAGTAGGTTTCAGTTTTCCAAAAGAGGAAATCGAGATTAAGAAAAGACTGTTTTCTCACAGATTAGAAACTCATTGAAAATAATCTCTGTTTATTACGTTTCATCCTCTACTTAGAAATAATCTAACAAAAATCATGGATGAAAGAAAATTTCTGAATGAAGCTACATAATGCGCACTGTCAATGATTGTAGAGTTATTATGGATCACAACATTGAGTCATCAAAATATTCTCGAGTTGTAATCATGAGCAAATCGGAAGCCTTGTAATTTATAGTATCTCGAATTTTTATTTTCCACTTCCGAAATAATTGCTCATTGGAAAACAAGGAGATAGACAGTGGAATAAAGATTTAAAACAGGAAAAAAATAGAGACCTGTGTGAATATATATATGCTTCATATTTTTCCGCCGAAGGATTCATCTGGATACACTCAATGATCTCTTCATTTTATTAGAGCGAGACCGGAAACGATAGAGACATTTCCGACTCGCACGCCACCTGATGAGGACTTTTCAATGTTGCAAACAAAAGATGGACTACGCTCGTCCGGTCTTTTTTTTAATCTGCATACCAAAGAGATTTTTAATATTTTGTTCAGTTTTTAGTGTCGCTTTTTTGTAATTTTTATTTTTTGTATTATTATGGAATATCGGGCGAGACCTTTGGACATTATTAAAGACTATATTTGTGATTTTGAAATTTTTTTTTTTTTTTACTCGCATAGAGATGCGCCCTTTAATGTATTATTGTCATAGAAAATATGTTTTTGTTGATCGAAAAACCAAAAGCTTTGTCTTCCGTGTATTATAGTCAACTGTATTTATAGTAGTATTTTTTCTTTTCTTCAGTTCAGTTCAGCTGAAAAGCTTTATTTTTTAAGATTCTCTGATATAAGCGTTTTGGGACTGCCTTTACTGATTTAGAATCTGTATAGTGCACATTGAATGCACAAGTTTTTCAAGAATTCAATTAAAATTTTTAAGGAGGTGAAGAACATAATAGAATTTATAGGTATTTTTTTTATAAATCCCTTTTGAGAATGATATTTCTTTCTTTGTATAATGTTTATCAAATTATTTATAATTTTTAAAAAGAAGCGCTACCATTCTTGGCTGAGTAAAGACAATTAATGTCAAAATTTTTCCCTAACCTTCACTGATTATATATTTTATTAATTCAAATAATGACAATGCAGAATCATCAGTAGTATACTTTTAAAAGTATAATCAGTTTTATGTTCTTTAGGTACGTGAAACTGAGAAATATTATTCATTTCAATAGTGTAGTTAAATTCTAAACCATTCTGGCATTTGCAAGTGATTTGATGATCAATTTGTGTACTTTACAGCATAGAAGTAATTAAAGTAACTTAACAAAGAAAAAAAATTGTATTTCTTCAGCTGTTTAAAATGAAACAGTACAGTTACATGATACTGAAATTCGAAACGTGAATCGGTTATAAAAATGAAGTAATTTTAGATAATAACTGATTTTTGTTTTACTATAAACAAAGACACATTGAAGAAAAAGAATATTAATTTGTCTTGGTAAATATGACTTACATAGAATTACACATATACATGTAAAAAGTCCTTAAACTTTTATTTTCTTTGCAATGTAGACTTCTGAAAAAGTGTAAGCAGCATTAAATCTTTTCTTTGCGGTTTGTTTTTATTCTTCACCTCTAATGTCTGTAATAATAGATAGTTCAAAATGGCGGTCTTCCCAAAACGTCGTGTACTTAAAAGCGTGTATAATGTGTTCCAAAATGGCTCATTTACTTAAACAAGCGCGAAAAATTCTTATTGTTATTTATTGTGTAAACATTGTCTATTTTTGTACATTGCACCATTGATCCCCGCACAGAGGGTTTCGCTATTTGCACAAGTCCTTTTGTTTACCAGTCACGAAGTCGTAACAGATGCCAGCATTGCCGGTGTTAATTGTAAAGAAAGAATTAAATTTATTTCTGCCTACTTGATGTTTTAATGTATTGTTGAAGAACGAAGAATAATTAATATTTTTGAACTCAGATGACAAATATTTTATAACAAAAGTGGGCATGTAGGCATCTTTTACGAATCGATCCCCCCGTAGGACAAGCGACGTTTGTGTCCAGCGATTGTTCTATTTAAGACTGAACAAATGTTTTGCTCTGCTCAATCATTTCTAGAAATAAATATATTTCACTCATTTTGTAGATGATTGTTTCTTGTCTTGTTTGTTCACTTGTACCCACTGAATAATGAACACACCCATATTACGAACAATATGGCTCGAATAGAAGAAACACAAAGCGACAGGGATAGATTATAATCTTAAGGGCTCTGAGCGCATAAAAGATTTCATTGCCACTTCGTGTTTTACTATTCTTTTGGGCTTATTTCAATTATAAGTCTTATGGACGATGGCATAGGTGTACTTTAACTTCTAAAACTTACTTTACTGTACACTAGTTTTATTATCTATCAATTTTTTATGTGCGTTGCTTTGAAAACAGACTTTTCGAATTTTTAGCTTGATTTAAGTAGACGCCTCACCACTGGCCGAGTAGTTAAGATTGCTGAAAATTTGATAATTTATAGTTCCAACTGCTTTAGGCTTGATCTCAAGCGAACGGACTGCCTACATGGTTGGTTTTTGTGGATTTTCCCATATATAACGTGAATACCAGTTTCCTTAGAAAGTCCTCCAACAAGACAATCCTTCACTTAGACAAATAGCCCTTGTAGCTTTGCCATATTCAAATAACCTAAACCATTAAAACCATTAAATTTAAGTAACCATTAAATTAAATGTAAGTAACCGTTAAATTTTCTGAATTGTAGGGCACAGAGTAAGGTAAAGCGTAAGGGTTTAAATTTCCCTTACAGAATTTTCCGCTTTTCTACTTTAAATAACAAATTTTATTAAAATTTCTCACTCATAGATTTTATATGTTTATTTATTGTACAATTTGTATTAAGCATGAATTAGATAATTTTTATTAATTAATGCCCTCACAGTGAAGTTTTGGTTTCCTGTTTCATTGATGACTGAGTTCTACTGTGAGATATTGCTTGTGTTTTATACGAAAATTATCCATTTCTGCAACAGCAGTTAAGCTAATATAGAAAATGCTTTTAACGAGTAAAACATAAAAGTGAGGAAGGAGGTATAAAAAATTCTAACTGCTCGGAATTTAAGTAACAGTAATCAAAATTTGAAATATTGTTTTCTCAAATTATTCAAGAAGTTCTTCTAAGAGGCGAAAGAAGTTTCCTAGAAGTCCATAAAATGTAATGCATAAATCCATAAAATGTTTTCCTGAGTTGGTTAGCAATGTTCACTTCCGAGTTGGAGAAAGAAGTGTTCCGAGTTCATTCTTAACACTTCGTTTTCCTATCAATTTTCAAACAACAAATTTTCTGATTAGTTTCTGCTTTCATTTACAACTTTCCTCAACAGCTCGAAGTAGCTGCTTATTTATTTTAATTTCACTGTATTCATTCAATAGTGCGATTCAGTTACGACTTTGCAGATGTAGCACTGTCTTTCTAGTTACTAAAAATAAATTCGAATTTTGTTAAGAAACTAGAAACTCGTGAATCTCATTCATCATACCACAAAGCTTTTACTAATTTATTAATAACGAGTTTACTGAGTAAGAAATTAATCTGAAAGTATATTTCAGATTATTTTCTCGCCTATCAATAAAATTCGTTGTTAGATCCTTAAAGACCTCATGTTAAAACTTAAATTCTTAAGTAATTGATAACATTTTAGTCATTGCAGTTTATTGTCGTATACTGGCGAAACTAAAATAGTATTAAAGAGCACAGATCATATGATCTAAAGAAAAATAAATACATCTTCAAGAGTTAATTATAGTTAGTTCTTTAACCCCAATTTTGTCTGCCAAAATTATCAACAAAACGTCTTCACTTGATGAATTAAGATTTCTCTGAAGCCAACTTATATTCATAAGAATTCGCCCTTTTTATTTCATGTCTTTAATTTCAAACTAGTTTTTCCCAATGCTTTCAAAATTTAGCACTTGAGCTTTTTTGTGCTGTTGGTTTGTTATTTTGCTCAGCAGATGGCACTATGTTCATTTCGCCTTTGCTCTTCTTATTAATCTTCTTATTTAATTGATTGTTTGATCCAAACACACTGCAAAATTATTTTAGCTTCTTAAAAGGTGAGCCCTCGAGACAAGAGTTTTGTTTAAAAGCTATACTAATCTAAGGATTTAATACTTTATGTTTACTTTTACAATGATGTATTTCTCTTGAGCAGGTTAATGAAAATTGTTGAATGTTATGAAGTGATTAGCGTCTTAATTTATCGTTGTGAATTAAAAAAAAATTGGATATATAAAAGAATTAATTAAACTCAAATTGCAAATACCCTCTAAAGAAAAACCTTGACTTTTTAATTCATTTTAATCATACTTTAAGTCTTCTATTTCAGCTACATCGCAGAAGTTAGAATTTTAGTCATAAGCAAATAATCTATTATTAAGCAGTTTTGCCTTGTTGTGAAATTGATTTTAAGAAGAAGTTATAAATAAAACAACCATTTAACACCATTGTAAAATCTAGTCACAGGTTATGCTATACGTCTTTGATATTGACCTAACAGAAAGTTAAAATCGCGTGTGATTGGTTATTTTTTTTTTTTATCTTTGTTCCTTTTAGATAATCGCTCAGATTACCTAAATTCGTCCAAAATAAAATAATTAACATTTATGTTTTGTATAACTTTGCTAATAGTACTACTATGCATAAATTATGATTATCTAAATTCAAGAGCTATGTAACTTTTTGATACCGATTATAGATTTTTTTTTTACTCTACTGTTAAGGAAGATATTTTATTTATTAATTTCCTCAAAGAGGCGTGTAATACATTTCTCAAAATTGATAATCTTGGTGATTTACAGTATTATTCACACTTAATTAATAAGACAGATAATTCTAATAATAATTTTAAATTCATCTTAATCATAATAAGTTTACCAATTATAATATTAAGATAATCTTTGGAAATCTGGATACAGTTGTTAAGAGCTTACTTATTGCTTTACATAAATTGTATTCAGTGTAACTTATCTTTCAGTATTAGATTCATTTTCTATTGATAAAGAAAAAATATTGTATTCTACATTATTACACAGACATAAGCCCATCAGCGGCTGAGCAGTAAAGTCGCTAAACACTGGTAGTTTGATATGGATTTGATTCCAGGTGATCAGGCTAGCTGTCTGGGCCTTTTCCTAGTTTTCCACATGTGTAACGTGGGCACGAGCCAGTTTCTCTCAGAAAGTCCTTCACGAAGACAACCTTCCTTTTAGGAGGATAGCCCGCGAGTGCTGTATCGTAATCAAATAAACCAAATCAAATCATAGGCCTAAAATAAACTAATACCGCATGTCTTTGCATATTCCATTCTCTTTAGCATTAAGTTCTGAAAATTTTTAAAAGATTCGCATAATTTCCCCCCAACCTTTACTGCACATAGCTTTTTTTGCTTCTGACGGCTAGCTTATTGGTATATTGGTGACCTTGATTATTTTTATTTTTATACAGTGTAGTCAGTTTGTATTTAGATTTGTGCACTAGCATTTTATTTTCCCTTTCTTTATTATTTGAAATGCATTTTGTACAGATTCTTCGTTAAGCTATCCGAACGTGCCAAGTAATATCACACTTTAGAAACTTTCCAAACACGTGATTTCACCTTTTTTCTGTTATTTACTTTCCAGCTCATTGTAGCTTTAGCTACTGCTGATGTGTTCAGTCTTTCGAAATCAGGATCTTTTCTTCGTTCCGTGTACTCATTCGAATCTAGAATTCCGTTTAAAGAAATAACATTGTGATAGTTACCAGTAGTTTATCTATGACTACTTTTCATTTGTTATATTCTTACTGTAACTTACTGTATGTATTCTTTACTTCGGAAATTAAAGACTCGTATAATTTTCCCCTCTCGATTTTTGTATTGCAAAAATCAGTTAAAAAAAATCTCATGTTGTCACTACATGACGCCCTTGTACGGCCTATTAAATATTCTTTTCAGAACAACAATAAACTGCCATTAAATATTGTTAGATACTACAAAAATAAACTGGTATTAAATATTAGTAGACATTTATTGTTTGACAAACTACATATATAAACTGTTATTTTATACGTGGTTAGATTTCGTTATTAGTGTTGAAAATTATTTTTTATAAATTTGATATCGCCAAAACATGAATATTTTCGTCATTTAGAAGCACTTTTGTAATTGGAAGTACATAACTACGACCAACGAATGTAAAAATAAAGGTCTGATAAGGACTTTCAAGCTAGGTAAGAGGATATATATAGAGAGAGCAAAGAAAAAGCACAATTTTTCCAATACATTTTAACTTTAATGCTTTCAAATTTAATGCTTTAATTTAAGCTTTCGAAAATGTTTTGTAAATATGAAATTTTAATTTTGCACTTTGATTTATATTTTTTCGCTTACTAAGCTTCGTCAGGGTGATCCTTATCTCTTTAAGTATAGGGGTAATTATTGTAGTATAGAAATATGTATTGTATTGTATTTATTTTTAGTGGAAAGAAACGTGAGTTCAAATTTCCTTAACTGTTCGGGTTTTCACGTTTCAAATTATTATTCCTTGAAAAGTCGATTAGAGGCATTGAAATCTGAATAATTAAACTGCTAGTTTAAAAAGGTTTTAAAAAAAATTTTAGTTTAAATTAAAATTTTTTTAAAAACAGTTTATAAAGATTTTTTTCAACTTTTGGTCATCATCTTGTTTCGCTCTAAATTTAACAGTTTCTCGTGGTTTTCAAATTAAATCATTTTGCATTCTTTTAAAATTTTTTTCCTATATAGTATAATCTTTTTCATATTTTTAAGATTATTTTTTTATATATGTATTGTAGTTTTTGCGGAAGATGAAATAAATTCTCCCTTTAGTTATGGGCGAGAAGACTGTTGCTTAGATGACGACTTGTAGGCAAATCACAACTAGCTTCATGGTTAAAACATCATTTTTATTTTGAACAGGAACAATAATTCAGAACTATATTTTTGCTTAAAACTGGTGCAACACTAGGGATGCTAAACGTGTTTCACAGTTTCTATATACGAAGTTTACATGTTAGACAATAAAGAAGGAAGGCGAAACGAGAGACGTGGTTTACTCAAGCAGGAGCAGGAGAGAA